TTTTTTTTGTTAGAGAGTATTTATTTTGTAATTTTATATAATTTAAATTGTAAAATAATTATTTATTTTCAAAAATTTCAAAGTCATATATATATGATATTAGTATTTATTTATTTATTTTTTTAAATTAAAATGAAAATTATTTTAAAACTAAGTAGTTTTAATAAAATACCATAAATAAGACAAAAAAATGCTCTAACTCATGCTTTAAAATAAAGTATTTTAATTTTTTTAATAAAAATTGATTAAAATAACATAATTTTAAAATAATTTTTCTTTCTATTTTTTATGTGGTAAGACAAATAGACATTATTCCTCATATATGAAGAAATGTCTATCAACTATATTTGTAAAAAATTAAACCAAAAAAGGTTTTTATATATTAATAGATTAGAAAATTGGTTAGAGAGAGAATAGGTAGGAGGTGTGCAAAAATTAGTTCCAAACAAACAAATTGTAAATAAATAAAAAAAGAAAAGAAAAGAAAAACAGATTAAAAATTTTAAATAATACATTGGGTTAATTTTCTGTGTCTCTAATTTAGAGATTTGACTGGGTTCAATCGACAGGCACGCGAAATTATTCAAAGCAAATGTTACTCTATTTCATGAAATTTGTACTTTTTTACACTGAAGCTAACATGCCTGAGCAGTTACAAAAGGAATTTTCAGCTACTACAACTCTCATGATAATTGTCCTAACAAACCCCACCATCATTATTCCCTCTTCTTTCTCAGAAGCATCTAATATATTTCTAGTCCTCCCAACAAACTGTTATTGCCAATTCACTTCCCTCCCCAAGTATGGAATTTTCAGCTATCACCATGGAGGAATTATGCATGACCAGGGAAGGCACCGGAGGAGTAAGAATGGGCAGGAAAAGACCAGCCTATGATGACACCAGACAGTTCAAATCAAAGAACCTCAATGCCGAGAGGCGAAGGAGGGAGAAACTCAGCAACAGGCTCCTCACCCTGCGCTCATTAGTGCCCATAATCACCAATGTACATAAACCACACCCAAATTTTGCCTTAAATTTTTGTGCATTTCAATAAGTCAAATGTTTGTCGTTTTCACGTAACTCTTGATTTTCTTTCCCCATTTATGTAGATGAATAAAGCAACAATCATTGAGGATGCAATTACTTACATCAAAACCCTGCAGAACAGTTCCAAGGTTCTAAGTGACCAGCTTCTTGAAATGGAAGCATCTTCTGAAGGGGAAGAAAAGCCAGTGAAGGATGAGATTGATGCTGCAGAAGAGATGAAGAAACATGGAATTCAGGTTGTTTAAATGAAATTCCAACCCACATTACCCAGATTTATTTGCATCATTACGTGACACAGATTCAAAATTACCATTATTTTCGATCATAATATATATAAATCATTTTTTCTTTTTAATGTGATGCTTGTAGGAAGAAGTTGTGGTGAATAACATTGTTGATGGGGAAAAGCTTCTGATAAAAATTGTTTTTGAAAAGAAAGGAGGGCGGTTCACTAAATTGATGGAAGCCATGAGTTATCTCGGATTTGAGCTGAGTGAAACCAGTGTTACAACCTTCTCAGGAGCAATGATTGTTACATCCTGTATACAGGTAAGTCTAGAAAGTACATAAAGAAAAATTTGTACTAATAATATGTGCTGAACATGAAATGCTGTACTCCGTATACCATGTGAGATAACAAACTCATAAAACAGCATTTGGTAAAACTCTGAAAAATCAAAGTACAATTGGGATTTTGCCAGTTCTGGTGAAAAAGTACAGAGTGAAATATCTAAATGGTTTGTCACTTGTGTATGTGTATATATTTGTGTGTTTTGATTAATTACTTCTAGAACCTTAATTTTTTGTCGAAAAGTAATGTTTTGGTTGATATTATTTCAGGGCACATATTGTGATAAGCTCACAGCTCAGGAGACACAGGATTTGCTGTTGGAGATTATCAGAGGCATTTAGCGACTGCACCTGATTTTTCTAATAACAAACTGGAGTTTGCATTGTTATGATCGAAAAAGACCCGTAATTGAAAAGGAATTAATAAAAGTCGGTTCTAGATGATTCGGTGGAAAAAAAAAAAATTAATTGAGATGTTGCTTTTAACGTTAGTAAATTGACTGTTAAAACCAAATTTTTTGAAAGACTAAACTTAGTTGTTACTTCTTGTCATTTTGTTGAGGTTCTTACATTCTCATTAGTCGTTACAGCAAATATGATCACAGAGAGCCTCACCCTTTTAAGATCTCCCCGGAAAGAAGCCTTCCCAAAGACAACCTCCCCTTAAAATTATCATACAAAAAGATTCGCATTTGGTTGGATCAAATTGTCCAAGTTTTCACACCTGTATCTCACCAAACTATTATACTAAAGACATTTTTTTGACACAGTCTTGACTCTTGTTCTATAAATAAGAGCAAACTCTGGAATTCTTTGCAGGCTTTGTTCTATCAATTCCACTAGAAAACTGAGTTTTATGGCTAAGTTGTCTTCTTATTACTTCTGCATTATGTTAGCTGTTGAGGTTTTGAGTTTTGTAGCCAAGAGTCAAGCATTAGAAGGATCGGGGTCCATGGCGCCAAGGGGGACTTGGTCGGATGCTTATCCACCAGGACCAGGTGGTGGGATGATGGCGGAAAGTGCACATATCAGATTGCTGGGGAGGCACCATGATTCTGCAGCCGGAGGAGAGGCCATCCTTGGAGGATTTGTCATGGCCTTTGTGGTGGCTGTTGCATGCTACATTCGCGTCACAAGGAGAACACCGGAAGCTGCCAAAGCATGAGTTGCAGAAGTTCTTTGCCTGGGGTCTGGAATTTTGTGGGACCATGAAGATTGAAAATGTGAAGGTCTTATCCTGTGACTTACTGGGCAAAAAATTTTTGCAGAATAGACTTTGATTCATAAAGTGCATATTAAATCTTGGAAAATGGTCCAAGCTTCTAGTAATTTTATCCATTCTAGAAATATGCTTACTTTTGAATTTGAATTATTTGTTTGTATCCTCTACGATGGAGAATATGGAATTGTAGTTGCACAAGTAGATATAACAGCTCATGTACATGGGGATCAGCCCGCAACAGAAAAAGATCGAACAAGTATCTTTCTTTATTTTTATTATGAGTTAGCAATTTTATAATATAAATTGTATATTTTATAACTATTAATAGAAGACAACAACGTTACCATTAAGGATCTATTCTTCATCACTGATAATAGGGTGCACAGTTTGCATAAAAAATGAACTTTACATCACTTATTTTATTTTATTTTAACTTCGTGGTAAAAATTGGATTTAATTTAAGAAATTATCTATTAATTATTTTTTTTTATTTTAGTCTAAAATCTTTATTTTTTTTCAAATTTATCTATTAACTTTCAAAATTATCTCATTTTTATCTACCCATTGTAACTCTGTTAATCACATTGATAGAACTTCACGTTCTTAATTGCGTGGTGCCACGAAAGATATTGTGTGACGCTACTTAAACTAACATGTGACCTAAAAGAGAAAAGGAAAAATTCCCGTTTCATTATTAAGACTAAATGCTTAAATTAAAAAAGTAGCAATAATATAAAGATGATTTTTTTGCATAATTTTTTTGTATAACTTTTATATTTCATTAAATAAGTAAATATACTTAATATTACATATTTTAAATTAATAAAAAAAGTTAATTTTTAAATAATATGTAAAATTATAAAAAAAATAATAATATAAAAAATTATTTTTGAATATTTTTTATAAAAGAATAATTAACTATAGTATAAAACTTAAAACCACTAATCAAACTTAACACAAGAATTTAAAAAAAAAATAAAGTTTCAAACTAAACCAGGTTATAATTAATTAATTTTTTATAAAAGAATTCAAAGATAATTTTATACTATTTTTTATATAATTTTATATATTATTTAAATTATTAACTTTATTTATTTATTTATAATATGTGATATTGAGTACATTTACTTATTTAATAATATATAAAAATTATATAAAAAATTATCTTTCCGTCAATATCATTCTTTTATGTTAAGCATTTAATGGTAAATAAAGAAGTGAGAATTTTCTTTCTTATTTTTTAGGCCACGTATTAACTGAAGTGACGCCACACGGTAGCTTACATGGTGCCACACAATCAGAATTGTGAAGTTTCATCAATGTGATTAACAGACTTACATGAGATAAACAAAAATGAAACAGTATAGAAAGTTAATATATGAGTTTAAAAGAAAATAAAAATTTGGGATTAAAATGAAAAAAAAATTAAATAATTAATAGATGATTTCTTAAATTAAGCCTAAAAAATGAAATATTCGTTTGATTTTCTTTACTTTATTCATGGTAGGAGGTGAAGTTTTTGTTTGATTTTATTTGGCAATACCAAATCTCAGGCAGTAATTATAGATCCATTGATTGAGATTGAATAGAATCCAATGGTTAATTAAAGATCAAAAGCTAAAAAAATTCCATGGAAATAGGATGTGAAAAAGAAAAAGACAGCATTTAAAATTCCACAATCCTATCACTTTGGTAGTAAAATCTTATCCCACATTTTTCTCAATCCTTAATTACACCCATATTAACATTTAAAAAAAAAAAGACCAAAATTCTCCATGGAATAATTGAAGGAATATAAACATCTTATCTCTGATCTTGATATCCCCTGTTCTTCTTTCCAACATCCTCTGACAAATTATCTGCAATATTCACATTCCACTTTAAGTTTCAACAGATGGATTGAAATTTGTTAAACCCTTCATTTAGTTGTTTAGAATACTAAGAAATTAAAGAACGAACAAAAATTTTCTTGGTAACCAAACAAAGCAAAAGCTTAAAAACAGAGTATCTAATTCATCAAAAAAACAGAGTATCTTCTTTTTTTTTTTTTTTTGTTATTGTAAAACAGAGTATCTAAATCATGAAACAGAAAAGGAGTACCTGAAGGTTTGCAAACAGGAGGTTCTTCAAAAAGGGCAAGAGAGAGTTCTTTATATGCAACACCAATATCAAACAGGATCAAGCCAGAGGAAGGATCGGTCACGATGATCCCTTTCACTGGAAGCCAAAGAAACAGCTCTTCCTGAGAAAGACCCTGCAGACCCATCAGCCCACCATAGCTGAGATTGGCTCGAACCACGCTGTCAAAGTACACTCTCCCATCAAACTTGGCCATGCATGGCTGCTCCAGGTGCACCTCCAGGCGGCCATTCTGGTCGAGATTGTAGGATTTGACATTATCCGGGAAGAGGCCGGCAGGCAGACCTTTGCTCTGGAGGAGGGTTTGGATGGAGGAGGAGGCCGTGAGGGGGAGGAGAAGGAGGAAGAGAGGGAGGAAAGATATGGGAGTCGGAGACAGAGACATTGTTGGGAGATTTTTGAAGGACAAAAGTCAGAAGCTTTGATTGTTGAGTTCTTTCTGGGTGTCTTTAAGGTTTGTTTTTGGAGTTGCAGAAACTGTGTACCCTGTTGTTTAATTTTATTAAATAAAGTGGGACAAGGATCTGCAAATTTTATGACCAAGTCTGCCCTTAATTTTGACTCTACCCTTTACCCTAATATAAATACTAAATGTATATAATTATAATGTTATTTAATATTATAATTTTAAAATATAACATATTATTATATAATTAATTATTTTTATTTAAAAATCAATTTATGATATTATATATATTTATTTAGTTAATAACACATTATACTTAATTATAATCCCGGCTAGCTACTCAACAAGAAAGGGGTGAATTAGGTCATATCAATTTACTTTAAAACTTGTCTCTTTCTTTTTTTAAAAAACCTTGAATCAAATTTCCAATATATAAACTGTTATGCAAAATAAACAAAGAATAATTACAATCTTGCAAATAAAGTGCAGAAAAATAAAAAGTAAGGAAAAAAAAATATCAAGCCGTGATTTACAGTAGTTCCTTCAACCCGGAGTATGTCCACTCCCCAAGCCTTCTTACTCAAGAGTTCAATCTACTAAGATTCTCTTACTTATGGGTGTAAGATTAAACCGAAACAAACTCTTACTCGTGGGTGCAAAATTAAACCCTCACAAGTGAATCTCAACAACTCACTCAACCCCTTCAAGGATTATCCCAATCCAAGAAGAATACAAAACTCTTGTAAGACAATTAACCCAAAAGCTCACAAAAAGAAGAAGAAGATGCATAACATTTTCAATTTCAAACAGTATTTTTCTATCTTCCTCACCTAAAGTCCGTTAGAGAGAACTCAAATCTGATTTTTTAGACCCTTTTATAGTTGGTTGGGAGCTCATGCAATTAAAACCTATTTTGCCCTTCAAAGCCACCTCACAATTGCTCCAATTAGATTCCGCCCTTTTTCTACTTCCTATAACAGACTTTTACTTGTCTTGGAATGTGCTTTGTCATTTCGATCCCACTAAGGTCTAATAAGATGAAACATATAATTGAACAACCAAAGGTGCGCTTTCCAAAATTTTTGCTTCAAAGCCAGAAATATTGGTTCAAATGGTTTTCAGAAAAAGAACTACGAGATTGATTTGAATCAATTGGAATTGATTTGAACCCAGAACTCTAGACAAGGAGGATAGGATTTAATTCTAATCATGGGGAAAGATTAGAACCCTTGAATTAGCTTTCCTGCACACGTAGCACAAAAATAGATTAAACTCTTTAAATCATGGTTTTAAATTATTATCAAAATACAAAGAGAACCTAACAATCTCTCCCTTTTTGATAATGACAAAACCATGTCTTAAAATAATAAAGATAATAAATGTAAGCTCCCCCTTAAAATATGCTTCAAAGTTTCAAAAAGAAATGCACAAACAAATAATAAAGATAATTTTCATTTAAGTTCCTCTCCCCCTTTTTGTGATTATCAAAAAGAAACATACAAATTAGCATAGCATAGAGTTCAAACATACAAATTAGCAAAATTCAATAGACAAAAGACAAAAGGCACTATACTAACAAGTCGGTAGACAAAAGATAATACCAAGCACCAAAAAAAAAAAAAAATTGTAATAATTCTAAGCACCAAAATTACAGCCAAAGTCATACAAATGCATAGATGGTCATTACAAATTGATAATAGAATAAACTAACTCTTCCAAAAACGTAAAGAGGAACTCATTAGAATAAGTTCAAAACAAAAATACAAAGGGCAATATCTTTAATGGATTTGCTTTGAACCTAATTTTTGTGGTTCAAATCAATATGCTTTGCCATTCACTTCCTGTTTCTTCTTCCTTTTAATTTTAATTTTATTTATTTTATGATATTTATTATAGCAAATTTTACTTGTTCAATGATAATCAAACAACTAGATATTTAAGAATCAAAATTTAACAAGTTGGGTCATACATCCCTATTGCATGTCTTATTAAACAAAATCATTCTTCAGTCAAAGGTTTGGTAAATATGTCTGCCAATTAGTTTTCCATTTGTACAAATTCAGGTGTTAAGTCACCATTGTTCACATGTTCTCTAATAAAATGATATCTAATTTCAATGTGTTTTGTTCTTGAATGTAGAATTGGATTCTTAGTTAGATTAATTGTAATAGTGTTGTCACATCTAATCGGAATTCTTTCAAATTTACATCCAAAATCCCCTAATTGTTGTTCCATCCATAAAAGTTGACTTGCACAACTACCAACTGCAATATACTCAGCCTCAGTAGTTGACAAGGCAATTGAATTTTGTTTCTTTGAGTACCAAGAAACCAAGGCACCTCCTAAAATTTAACAAGTTCTAGTGGTGCTCTTCCTATCAACCTTACTACCAGTAAAGTCAGCATCTGGGAATCCAATTAAATCAAAATTCATCCCTTTGGGATACCAAAGACCTAAGTTTTGTGTTCCTATAAGATATCTAAAGATTCTTTTTAATGCAGTAAAATGAGACTCCTTAGGACATGATTGAAAATGAGCACATGAATACACAACCACACACTGAACATAATATCAGGTCTACTAGTTATCAAATATAACAATGAATATATTATGCTTCTAAAAAGTTTCTGATCAAAAGGCTTACCTTGTTCATCTTTGTCTAGTTTGAGGGCTGAGCTCATCGGTGTGCATTAAGGCTCACCATTTTCCATTCCAAACTTTTTTTAGCAACTCTTTGGTATATTTTGATTGATTAATGAAAATCCCTTCATTAATTTGTTTGATTTGTAGTCCAAGAAAGAAATTTAATTCTCCCATCATACTCATCTCAAACTCTCCTTGCATAAGCTTAGAAAAAGTCTCACGAAAAAGTTCATTAGTAACACCAAATATTATGTCATCTACATAGATTTGAGCAATTAAAAACTCCTTTTCATGATGCTTTATAAATAGAGTGGTGTCAACTTTTCCTCTAAAAAAACCTTTTTCAATTAGAAACCCACTTAGTCTTTCATACCAAGCTTTAGGAGCTTGTTTTAAGCCATATAAAGCCTTAGATAACTTGAACACATGGTTTGGCGAATGGGGGTCCTCAAAACCAGTGAATTGCTCAACATAAACTTCTTCCTTAATGAATCCATTTAAAAATGCACTTTTAACATCCATTTGGAAAAGTTTCATGTTCATATGACATGCAAATGCACATAGCGTACGTATAGATTCTAATCAAGCAACTGGTGAATATGTTTCGTCATAGTCTATGCCTTCCTCTTAACTATATCCCTTAGCAACTAATCTTGCTTTATTTCTAACTACATGACCATGTTCATCTAACTTATCTCTAAAAACCCATTTAGTACCTATGATAGGATGATCACTAGGACAAGGTACAAGATTCCATACTTTATTTCTTTGAAACTGATTTAATTCCTCTTGCATTGCTAAGAACCAATTTTCATCCTTTAATGCATCATTGGCATTCTTAGGTTCTATATGAGAAATAAATGAAAAGTTATTCACAAAATCAAAGTGAGATCTTGTTGTTACCCCCTTTTCTATGTCACCAATGATTTGTTCTTTTGGATGATCTTTCTTGAATTTCCATGTCTTTGGAAAGCAGGGGCGGAGGCAGAAATTTTTTTCAGAGGGGGCAAAATACTAAAATTTTCAAAGTTCAGGGGAGGCTAAATAATTTTTTCATATACTAATTTGCAAGATTTTCAAATTTCAAGGGGGCGAGCGCCCCCCCTCGCACCCCCCTGTCTCCGCCACTGTTGGAAAGTCTTGGCGAGGAGCATCATTCTGTTCTTGTGAGCCTTCTTCTTTTCTAGAATTTTCTTCAAGATGCAGCTCTCCAATCCTTGTTTGAATTTCACCTGCATCATCATCCAAAACAACCTTTCTCAAGGAAAAATTATTTTCAACAAATATAACATACATGGACTCTTCTACAACTAATGTTCTTTTTTTATAAACTCTATATGCGTTACTTGTTAATGAGTACCCAAGAAAAACAGCCTCATCACTCTTAGCATCAAATTTTCCTAGATTTTCTTTGCCATTTTTATGCACAAAACATTTACAACCAAATGCACGAAAATGAGAAATATTTGGTTTCTTATTCTTCCACAATTCACATGAAGTTTTATTCAACTTTGACCTAATTAGAACTCTATTCAAAATGTAACAAGCTGTGTTAATAGCCTTTTCCCAAAAATATTTTGATAATTGATTTTCACATAGCATTGTTCTACCCATTTCTTGTAAGGTTCTATTTTTCCTTTCAACAACTCCATTTTGTTGTGGAGTTCTTCGAGAGGAAAAGTTATGTTCAATTCCATTTGAGTCACAAAATTCTTTCATTTTATCATTATCAAACTCAAGTCCATTATCACTTCTAATGCATGTAATAGTGAACCTCTTTTCATTTTGCACCTTCTTACAAAATTTAATCAATTCACTAAATGCATTTTTCTTATGAGCCAAAAAAATAGTCCAGGTATACCTAGACTAATCATCTACAATTACTAAAGTATATTTTTTACCTCCCAAACTAGTGACATCAATAGGACCAAACAAATCCAAGTGCAAAAGTTCTAGTGGCCTTGATGTAGTTACATCCTTCTTTGACTTAAAAGAAATTTTTGTTTGTTTACCTTGTTGACATGCATCACAAATTTTATCTTTCTCAAAAACTAGTTTAGGTAAGCCTACAACTAAATCTTTCTTAGATAATTTAGAAATCAAGTACATGGATGCATGTCCTAACCTTCTATGCCATAGCCAACCCTCACTTTCATTTTTAGCCATTAAGCATTTTACATTATATGAAGATAAATCATCAAAATCAACAACATAAACATTTCCCTTCCTTTTACCAACAAACAGAACTTCATCACCATGAATGTTTAACACTTTGCATGCATTTGACTCAAAAATAATTTTGTGCCCCTTGTCACATAATTGACTTTTACTAATCAAATTATGCTTGAGACATTGTACATAATAAATATTTTCTATAATTAAACTAGAATTCTTACCTGCTTTGCTAATACCTTTAATGTGGCCTTTTGCATTGTCACCAAAAGTCATTGTTCCTCCTTTCATTGCCTCAAGGTTCAAGAATTGCAATTTGTCTCCTGTCATATGTCTAGAAGACCCACTGTCCAGATGCCATTTTTCTTTCTTCAATTTTTCTTTGAAGCTTCCCTCATCTGTGTCATCATTTGTCATGAGACAAATATGAGCTTCCATGTCACTTTCTTCTTTACTAGAAGATGAGTCCTCACTACAGCTCCATGTGGCAACCATTGCCTTATTTTTCTTTTTAGCTTTTAGACTCTTTTCATCATTGTTTGGACACTCAAATTTAATATGTCCAGCCTTCTTGAATCTGTAGTAGATAATCTCATCCTTTTTATTGCTTTCTCCCTTTCCTGTATTGCTTTTGTAGTTTTTCTTTTGTTGTCCTTGATTCTTCAACATGTCTTTCCTTAGGAATCTCTTAAACTTTCGAGCAAGCAATACAAATTCTTCATCATCCTCTTCATCACTGTCACATTCATCTTTGGAGGAGCTTTTGAAAGCTGCAGATTTCTTCTTCCGAGAATCATCATCACTTTCATCATTTTTCATGGCCATTTCATGTATAAGGAGTTTCCCTTACAGCATCTTAACAGTCATGGCACTTAAATCATGAGCTTCTTCTATTGTTGTCTTGATTGAACTCCAGGATTTTGGCAAGGAGCAGAAAATCTTTTTGACCTTATCTTCCTCAGGAAGCACCCTATCAAGAAGCTTTATTTCATTAGTGATTTTGGTAAAACGAGTAAACATGTCTTTAGCGTCTTCATCTGATTTCATTTTAAAAAGCTCACATTTTTGAACCAACATGTTAATTTTTGATTTCTTGACTTCATTAGTTCCTTCATGAGCCACTTCTAATTTATCCCACATTTCCTTAGAAGAATCACATGCACTAATTCTATCATATTCACTAGGATGTAAAGCACAGAATAATGCATTTTTAGCTTGAGCATTTATCTGCAGTCTTTTTCTATTAGCTTCATCATATGTTGTAGGATCCTTAGGAACAAGTTTGTTATCCTTGTCTCTAACTAAGACTTTATATGGTCTTCTAGCAATTCAATCCCTCATCTCATAGCTATTTGCTTCTAACCAATTTTGCATCCTATTTTTCTAATATTGATAATTTGTTCCATTAAAATAAGGTGGCCTAGTGATTGAATGACCTTCAACAAAATGAGTTTGGGACGCCATGGATCTATTCAAGATTGTTAAATCTATTTCTAAGAAAACTTGCTTTGATACCAATTGTAATCCCAACTAGCTAGCCAAGAGGGGGGTGAATTGGGTCATATCAATTTACTTTAAAACTTGTCTCTTTTTTCTTTTTCTTTTTGTTTTTAAACTTGAATCAAATTTCCAATATATAAACTGTTATGCAAAATAAACAAAGGATAATTGCAATCTTGCAAATAAAGTGCAGAAAAATAAAAAGTAAAGGAAGAGAATATCAAGCTATAATTTCTAGTGGTTCCTCCAACCTGAAGTACGTCCACTCCCCAAGCCTCCTTGCTCGAGAGTTCAATCCAGTAGGATTTTCTTGCTTACAGGTGCAAGATTAGACTAGAACAAACTTTTGCTCATAGGTGCTAGATTAAACCCTCGCAAGTGAATCTCAACAACTCACTCAACCTTTTCAAGGATTATCCCAATCCAAGAAAAAGACAAAACCCTTATAAGACAATTAACCCAAAAGCTCACAAGAAGAAAAAGATGCAGAACAGTTTCAATTTCAAACACTATTTTTTTTTATCTTCCTCACCTAAAGTCCGTTAGTGAGAACTCAAATATGATTTTTAATACTCTTTTATAGTTGGTTGGGAGCTCTTGCAATTAAAACCTATTTTGCCCTTCAAAGTCACCTCACAATTGCTCCAATCAGATTCCACCCTTTTTCTACTTCCTATAACAAACTTTGACTTGTCTTGGAATGTGTTTAGTCATCTGGATCCCATTAAGGCCCAATAAGACAAAACAGATAATTAAACAGCCAAAGGTGTACCTTCCAAAATTTTTGCTTTGAAGTTAGAAATATTGGTTCGAACTATTTTCAAAAAAAGAACTATGCAATTGATTCAAACCCAAAACTCTGGACAAGGAGAACAAGATTTAATTCTAATCATAGGGAAACATTAGAACTCTTGAATTAGCTTTCCTGCACACTTAGCACAAAAATAGATTAAACTCTTTAAATCATGGTTTTAAATCTTCCTCAAAATACAAAGAGAACCTAACATTAATTAATATGATATCATAATTATAATTTTAAAATTTTATATAATATTATAATTATAGCATTGTTAATATAAATATTAGAGAATGATGCTATGTGACTACAATAAATTAACTATTGATTTTGAAATAGAAAAACCTTACATTTAAAATACTTTTTATTTTTATCAATAACTATAATTGTACAACATTCAACGTGTTAGAATGCACAACACCTTTCTATAAATATTATGAATTTTTTTAATTTATAAAAGTATATGTTTTATTTTATTTTGGTTGTATAATAAAAAATAAGTTTCTTTCATCTTTTATCTCAAGCCACCTATATGACATATAATTCAAACTCAATACTTCTTATTTTTAGTAGACGGAGATTATCTCTAAATCATTTAGGTCGTTGTTTTATAAAAATAGATGCTAAGTATATATTTATTATAATTTTTAACTATTAATTTATATAAAAATTATGAATATAAATTTTATTTTTAAGATTAATGTCACATGAAATATTTTAATTAAACATCTAATAAAATTAAAATCTACTTTAATTTTTTATAAATTAATAATAAAGACATACAATAAATACACTTTTAAGGCATAAATTAAAAATTTTCAAATATTATTTATCCATTTAATATGGCAGGGGTTTAAATTTCTATACTCTCAAGTTAGTGAATTAACTATAGTCTTACATTTATGAGAGCAATTTGGTCAATTTGGTCCTATGAATTAAAAATTTGGTGATCCTAAAGAATAAATTCTTTCTTTGTGAGAATCGATTTTTGTGTTTAGTGATTCGTTCCCAAATCTTAGTATTTGAATTTAGTTGATCACAAGTTTGACTCCTATTAATGACTTAAAAAAAAAATCCTCCATTTCCCAAATTTCCCATGTTCAAAGAAACAAAAAAAATCTCTGGGACGGACGGCAAACAATGGCAATACACTATGAGATGACTCAAAATATTTATTTAGAGCATAGAATATGGATTAATTATTAGTTTATCTTGAAAAATTATAAACGTCACATCTTAATTTTTTAAAATATTATTATATATTATAGTATTATTATTTTTTAAAAGAATTTTTTAAGAATACAATTTAAAGGTGTTTTAATTATATATATTTTTAAAAATTTACATACAAAAAATAGAAGTTGATTTCGATTTTTTTAACTACCTAATTAAAATCATCTATATAACGTTAGTATTAAAAATAGTGTTTACTTTTACATTTTATCATATAAATTTATTGTAGAAAATATAATTAATATATTTTTAATCTATATTATTAGAGTATATGTTAAATTTTTTAAAAAAAGAAAAGTACTTACATTATTACTCCGAATCGAAGTTTAGCTTTATGCAATGGGATAGTTACTGTATTTAAATGATTATGAGAACTAATGGAAGTTTAACTTTCTTTTATCTGTGTTTGTACACCAAATCCAAGTGGATTAGTAAGTAATAGGTAGGCACATTAAAAAACAAAATAAAATGATTTTAATTAACACGTTAATTAATAATGTTAGAAACATGGAACTTTTCCTTCTCTTTATGACTATCTTCGTGCCTCTAATGATTTCAATGTAAACTGGATTGATTGGCATTTTTGGTGCTCTCTTTGACCCGACCCCATTCCCTTTTTCTTTAATTAAGGCTGAATCCAAATTTTTCGAATGAATAGGCAAATTTATAGAAGCATTTGCCAAAGAGATTGCAAGAAGCATAATGTATTTGCCAAAGAGATATTAATCTAGTAGTTAACATTGTTAGTAACATTTATGCTAGGTTTCAAGGCGGAATCCCTCTATTCTATCGTGAATAATTAGTAGTGATTTTTTAAATTTGTTTGCATGTATCAAATTGAAGTTGTTATATATAATTTTTTTTCTCATTGTATTTATTAAAATGTTAATTTATTATAATTTAATTAATATTTTATATAACTTAATAATCATAACCCTCTTCTCAGAACAAAAAATAAATAACAACATAACTTTTATAATAACAAAGATTCAAAAGATTATAAACACAACACTTTAGGACAATTCTTAAAGATTCTATCTTTTTGTTATTTTTTTTTTTTAAAAAAAAAAACCAACTTTACCTCTTAAAATCATAAACCCCCAAATTTGAAGTTTAGGGTGAATAATTGAGAATGACCCATAAACAAAAGCTTCATTGTGCAAAGAGAAACAACATGAGAGCTACCTCCCTATAATGATGTTCTTGTTGTTGGTTACAGACTTCACAACATCATGAATTATTGCAACCATGAATCTTCATCATTCATACTCAACCTCCCTGTAAAGGGATTGCTCCTGATAATGTCTTTCATATGCATACTTTGGATTCTGATAACTTCCTCCAATTTCCCATCTTTCTCCATATGGGTCTGAACCACCAAACAGATAATCAGCAGTCCCCTTCCACTGGTCGTCGTTGCTCCGTTCACCTGAAACTGGTTGATGATCATCGTGTCTCTTTGCCCGGGACAGGCAGGGCCAGTACCCAAAAATACTTTCACAGAGGTCCATTGCTTCCAAGCCATACCCTGATGGAATTTGAGGCACCCTCTGTTCATACTCAACACCTTGATCTCCGGTTGTTCCATTTCCATCTCCACTTCCTCGACCATACCAAGAAGGGTGAACATCATCAGGGGAATTCTCCTCACTTTCTTCGCTGTGACTATCATCAGCACCCCCAGTCATTTTGCTTGTATCTTGAGTTTCTGCTTCAGATTCATCTTCATCCTTTCCATGTGGCGATTTAATTGACTCATGAGAGAAATCAGCCAAGGATACAGCATTCGGATCCATAGATGAGCGAGGATAACATATTTCTTCAGAAGGGGGTAAGGGTTTACCATAGGTCTGAGTAATATCATACCCACCTGTATAAGGGGTTGGGTCATATTCTTCAAACTCAGGCACATTGAATTCTGATACAGAGTATGAGATAATGAACTGAGTCTGAGCAGCACTGTAATTGCCACTGTAAAGAGCAGGGTCATAGGCAAAATACTTGTTAGGCTCACTAGGAGTGGCTACGGAGTATGCTACTGTTGTGTTTCCCATAAAAGGATCAGATTCAGAAGCACCATATCCAGGAGTTTGATCATGCTCAAAGAAGTTATAACCACCATAATCATAGCTAGTAGAATGGGCAGCTAAGGGTTGCGAACCTTGCGACAGAATGAAATCAGAGCTACAATAGAAAGGGGTTTGATGATACTCACTGAGATCTGCATCATAGTAACTCGAGCTGTAATATGCCATTCTGGAATCTGGATGATTCTTCAATCTCTACCTGTCTCTTCAAGAACAATTCTAAGCATAAATTCTCAGAGAATAACTAAAGAAAGAAGAAATGATTTCTCCTCATTTCAACTTGCAGGGCTTACTGTAGAACTTTTTTTTTTTTTGGAAAACTGTAGAACTTTATCTATCAATTGGAAAGATTCTATTATCTCTATCCCCACCACTTACCTCTTATCTTTACATAGGAAAGGAATTCCTTATCCCTTGTAAGGAAAATGGTAAAATTGCCAACTTTACTGCCTTATAAAATTTTGTTTGGAAAAGATATTGGCAAATAGAAAAGCAAACGAGAAAAGAATTTCAAACCACAATAATTGAAGAGATAGCAATTTCAACAGCACTGAAATGAGAAAATGACAGAAAAATGAATCAGAAGCAATTTCCTAAAGATATTTTCTCTTTTCAGTCATGGGGGGCAATAGCTATCTTATGGGTGAGTCCCAATGTCCCATCATGTCCCATCATGTCCCAACACCGAAGACTACTACAGACACAAAACACATGGTTGGGCTGTACTGTAGAGCTGTTTACGTTAAACATTGGATGCTTTTTTCATGGTGGCCCAGTTTAAAGGAAATCATCATATCCTTCCACTACCATATTTCACCTTGATTGAAGAAATTGGGAAGGCAAGTTTAGCAATTGGATTTAGATATAACTGTTATTTTCTCACAAATTGCTGTAGAGGGGCAAGATTTAACACTTTGTTACAATTTTACTTTGAACGATCAAGATATTTTCGAACAAATCTTTATACACCTTGAAACTAACTATTTTCTAAATAAATTTGAAAATAACTTTTTTTTTTTTATTTTAAACTTTTTGTCATAAAACCTGCCAAGAGATAGGGATATGTACTTTTTTAATGGCACTAATCATTGTGCCACAAAAGTCAAGTACTGAAAATAGTTTTATTAAGGCTTAATACTTTAAAAAAATTAATTTATTTAAATATTAATTCTAAAACTTGATATATAAGATAATAATTAACCCAACCCTTTAGCTCTTTACCACAAATTATTACTGACTAAAATGGAGAAAGTTAAAATTTTATTTTGACCCCTTTATTTTAATAAAATTTTTTTTAGTCTATCTATTCAAAAGAGTTTTTCTTTAGTCCCTAAAACTTATTATTTGCTTCCTTTTTTGATTCCTTTGTTATCTATTTGCATATATGATGTATTAAATGATAAAAATTTTAAAATAAAGAGAGTAAAAAAAAACTTTTATTAAAGTAAAAAGATTAAAAAAAGGCTTTCTCTTAAACCATTTTTAATTTCTTTACTTTAGAATTTTTATCATTTAATTTGTTATATATAAAAAAAAATACAACAAAGGAATTAAAAAAGAGCTAAACAATAAATTTTGAAAATTTTAAAAAATCATTTTAAGTAAAAAAATTAAAAAATCATTTTTTTATTAAAATAGGGTAATCAATAAGAGGTTTTAACCAATGAAAAATGATGGAACAAAAGGAAGGAAGAAAATATGGTGGCACTCATAATGATTAACAGAAAAGAGCTAAAGTGAGGAGAGCTAAGTCTAAAAGAGAGGATCCAAAGAAGTTAGACTAGGGTTACAGGGGCACCTTTGGAGAATAAATACTTCAATCCCAAAAAAGAGTACCCATAAAGCTATTTGCTTACATCCCTCAGGAAGTTACCGGGTATAATGGAGTCATACAGCAAAGACTAAATTATAAGAGATACTATACAAAAGACTAGATTTATTTTGTAAAATTAATTTCCTGACCTCAATTAAACACCAATACACCATTCATAACTACCTCAAATCCTCTGTTTAAGAAAGATGAGCAAGCAACTTGAACGAGACTGGACCATCAACTGGGATTAGCAGGTTTAACAACCTGCAAAAAAGATGCAAAGAGACATATCCCTTTTCAAAAAACAAACTTGGTTGAATAATTTCCCTTTATTTCCTCATCCAAAGGTGGAGTCCGAGGTAGCTGCCTCTGGTGTTGGTCTTCTCTGTGGAGGTGGTCCATCCCTTCGTCTTTGATACCTCTTAGTTTGATATTTCGAATTATTGCCCCGTTGGTTTGGCCGGTGAGTAGGGTATGAGCATGGAATAATTTCCCCATTGATATACTTGTCCCCTGAAAATAATAAAACAAGATTGATAAGGACACCATTATAACTCCTTCACACACACAGACAAGAACAACGTATTCCTTCAAATCAAATAAGTGAATCACCTCAGGAGTCCTTGTTCATCACATCTATGTATGAGTCAGGTCACACCCAAAGAACCTCAGGCAGTCCTACAAAAGAAGAAATAATTAACTCTATGAAGAGTAGCAATCAAAACTTCTTAATAAAACCAATGCTTAGCTTGGGCCTAACCCTTAAATTTCTCATACGTTTCCTCGTCAACCGTACACTGGAATCCAGAATATGTTGTGGTACTAAATGCATACATATTCTTCTTTGCCTCTTCCATGCTGCAAAATTGGCAGAACATCAGGTAATGGACAGAATCATGCAAATGCTTTCTCTTACAACTACCACATACAGGCGCAGAACAGGAGAGAGCTCTGAACAGTAACAAACACCAAGTAAATACACAAATGTACGAAGTACGAACCATCTTATACCTAGTAACAATATTAATCCAAATTTCTATTCATCCCATCTTACTCATAACGCTAATAGTATGACTTAGAACCATGAATTTTCCTATGAATCAAAACCAGAATTGTTTTGTTAAATACACAAATATCCCATTATGGACAAACCACAAACGAGTTCAAAGTTTTTAATTTTTGCTAAAGTTAGCTTCTTTTACAGTTCTATCCGTGTTTAGTCACATAGAATCTTCCAATTCAAAATGCATTTGCTTATAAACGAAATATATGTGATAGATGTTACGTTCAATTGAAAAGAGTAAGAATAGACCTGCCAAGAACAGTAGCAAAGTGTTGAGGTAAATCGCAATCATCTGCTCCCTACTGACGCAGGATCCTTCGGAAACTACATGACAATAAGCCAGTGATTGTAGTCACATCCAGGAAGCAAGATGGTCTCCCCGGGCTCGCTGCACGCTGCTGCTGCTCCGCTTTGATGAATTTTCGGCATTGATGGCAGCACTGATCGCAACCCGGGATTTGGGTCCAATGGAAACCTTCCAATGTGACCGGGAAAAGGAAATGGAGATGGGAGGGAGGAGGGCGGAATGTTGGGTAGGGGTTAGAGTTTTAGGAAGATGAGAGGAGAGGTACTCACGATCTGGGACTGGGGAGAGAAAAAAAGATGAGATTTTTATTATTCTCTTTGGGTTGGAAGAACTTCGGCCTTCGGGCTCTCAGCCTTAAACGTGAAATTCCAAAGCTCAAAGCCCAATTTTACAATTGGCCTCATATTGGTTTGGGCATGGATATTAGGCTGGCCTAACTTAGAGAAGGAATCATGTAAAAGTCTAAAAGACATGGGTAATGCAATGATGGCCCTGGTTTGTCCATTTGAATTTTATGATGGGTCGTAATTGTAGAGACTAGAGAGGAGGCTTTGAAACCTATTTTAATTGTCTCTTTTCATCCAAAACTTTCGTGAATCAATATGCATTCAAGTATATAAGATATGATCAAATTCGATAGTAGTTGTTTGATATTTTCTAATGGGCATATTCTTATTTGATTCTAATAACCAAGTCAACTGTGCAGTCCTTTTCACCGGACAGCCCTAATTTATGCTCTTCCATTTACGTGAAGATTTAGAGAAAACACAACGAATTTTCACTAACGAATTGAAGTCGAAAGCGTGAAGATTACTTGTGGTTTTTTGCATTGACGAATGATACTAAATTCTGTTGTTGTGTGTACTTACAAGAGATTAGGTGCATATTACATCACCATAACTATCAAACCCAGTTCAACAAAATATGGAAAGCCTGACTCAATCGTACGTTAATGATATAATATAGTCTCCCAGTTCCCATTATTATTATTATTTATCTTAGTTATATAACTAACTATTTCACATCTTTTATCTCATTTCAACTGTATATTATGCAATTTAAACTTAGAATTTCTTAGTTGAAATAGAATGAAATAATCATTGAATTACTTAAATTATTCGCTCCCAATTCCCATTATTAATTTGGGAGATAAATTCTTTGCTTCCTATATATAGGACTATGGAGAAGAGAACATTAGAAAGAGAACTAATACGCGGTTTTTCAGTGTTAGTTTGAAATTATAGGCCGACATTAATCAACGTAGTCGAAAATCTTACATGTGTCGTTGGAACTTTGATGCGTCAGGAGGGATTTGAGAATAATTAATGGGGTGGTTATTTCATGTTTTATAATTTATTATTAGATATATACCCTTTTTGTTAATTTTTAATAGATTTAATTTAATTTTTTGACTTTTAAAATATAAATTTCACTACTAAAATTTTGTCTTTTACCAACAATAAATCAGCAACATGAGGTTGTTTGTTGCTGAAAATAGGTATCAGCAACAAACCCCATGTTGCTGAAAGTGCTACAGTGCACCAATTCATGCAAAAAGCTACCCCACTTTCACCAATACCCTTCTTGTTGCTGAAAGTAACTTTCAGCAACATACTCCATCTTGCTGATATTTTCCGGTGAGTTCTTGGCCATTTAAATGAGCTCCACTTTTCAGCAACGAGTTCCTTGTTGCTGAAATTCACTTTCAGCAACAAGGGGCATGTTGCTGAAAGTGTCTCTCTTTTGATCACCTCTTGCACTTTCAGCAACAAGCCTCTTGTTGCTGAAAGTGCTC